AAGGGAGGGAAGGAGGGAGGGAGGGTTGCTATGATTCCTTTAAAACCTTGATGTCCAGTAAATGAGCAGACTTCTGGTTTTCTGTGGTGATGGGATGAAAGACCTTGCTCAGCAGCAGAGGGCTCAGGTGGGCACAGCAGGGATCATCACTTTGTGTCCTTTACTTTTGTGCTGCCATCTATCACATTCCTAAGATGGAGGTAAACTTGTCCATCCAGGCCAGTCATCAGTCCATTTTCCCAGAAGGTACTTTGAGTGTGGAAAGGGAACAGTCTTAACCAAGAGCTCATCAATTTAATGAGGAGGGTATGGCTTCAGGAGAGGAGCACTGGACGGATGTGGGGCTGAGAGGTCCCACCCAGATCCCTTTCCTCTTTTGCCATTAACCAGCTCCCCCTTCACCATGAGCTTCAGTTTCCTTATTTGAAATGAGAGGGTAGAATGGAACACTTCTTTCCAGTGCACCCAATTCTGATATTCTATGAAAAGATGCATGAGAAAATAGTCACTCATATAGAATACATTCCCCAAATAAATTTGGATTAAACACTTAAAAATATAATAATAATAATATAAAATAAGGGCTACAGATGTAGTTCAGTGGTAGAGTGCTTGCCTAGTATGTGAGAGGCCTTGGGTTCAGTCCTTGGCATTACAAAAGGAAAGAGAGAGAGAGAGAGAGAGAGAGAGAGAGAGAGAGAGAGAGAGAGAGAACAAATAATTTTTTTTAAATAACAATAAAATTTAAAAAAAAAAACATTTTCACCTGTTCTTTTCACAGACGGGATATGAAAGTTTTTGGCATTCACGTCTCATGTATTGAACCAGGATTCTTCAAAACAGAATTGTCAGATCCAATAAAGGCAACTGAAAAAAAGCTTGCCATTTGGAAACATCTGTCTCCAGATATCAAAGAACAATATGGAGAAGGTTATATTGAAAAAAGTAAGTTTCTGGGTGTGCCAGTGTCCTCTGGGATTCGTTGTCTTAGGCAGCCTGAAGGAGGCTCAAACACAAGTGGAGAACCAAGGTTCCCACAGTAACACACCAACAGGGATCTTAAATACGCGGATCAGGATCTCTGTTCATTCCTGTCCTCTATACTTCTCTGAGGATCAATGAACATTAACTGAGCAATTGATAAATGTCAGGTTCTATAAATGCCTAATGAATTATATCATTTACTCCTCAGAAAAGCTGCTAGAATAGTAAGCAGAGGCTTGGAAAGGTGAAGTGTCTTCCACAAAGCCAGGCAGTGCCTCCTGATCATACCAGGACCAGGCAGGCTGGCCCGGCAACCCGTGATCTTAGTCTCTACACACACCTCCCCTTCTGTTAAACTCCACTCAGCATTATTCAAGGAAGGTTCAGACTCTGACCCTCAACTAGCTTAACATCTAGTTGAGAATAAAAAGTAATCAAGTGAGGCTCTACAGTATACAGGAAAATTGGTCCTCCTTAGATGTGACCCTGAGGCACAGAAGAGGTGGAAAATGGTGTGGCCTCTAGTTGCTCACAGAGTTCAGACCAGGAAAAGAGCGTTTCTTGGGAAAGATCAGGTTTGAGTCAGGCCTGAAAAACAGGAAGGAATTATTTGGGTGGAAGTTTTATGGAGCAGGAACACATAAAGGAGGAAATGGAAGGAAAGGTAACCGAAGTCAAAAGACTGAGTCAAGGAGGAAGAATAATAATAAAGATTATGTAATAATGACTAACCCAGCAAACATTTACTACCTACTCTGTAACCATTCTAAGTGCTTTACGTGGACTCTTTCATTTATAATCCCCAAACAAACTTGATGAAGTAGATACTATCAGGGTTTTTTTTTCCCTCAGTTTTTAGAAATAGAGGCATAGAGAAGTAACTTACCTAAAATTGCACAGCTAGTAAGTGGAAAAGCTAGATTTGAACCCAGCCAGCCCCACTCTGCCATGTATTTTTGGATACTGCAATACGGTGTGAACAAGAAACTAAGGAATTGGATCGTATTTCCTGTATCAGTATTCCCCTTCCGCCTCAGACTCCCTGTTAAGATTTGCTTGCTATTACTGAGCTCCTGCTTCAAGTTCAACAGATTCCTGTCTCCATGTATCACTCTATCCCTCCAAACTGTGATCCTACCAGAGCCAAGTCAGATCCACCTGGAGAAGTTTTTAACATGACCGACTCCCCCAGATCCCCACCCCTCCACAGCACATGCACACACACAAACAATCACACACACACACACACAATCACACACACACACACACAAACAATCACACACACACACAAACAATCACACACACACACAAACAATCACACACATACACAATCACACACTATATATATATGTATATATATATGTCTTGATATATAGTTTATATATTTTTCTTGATTTATAATTTATATATTTTTCTTACTATATAATTTACATATATTTATATATTTTATATATAAGTTATATATTTTATATATAGTCTTGATATATAATTTATATATTTTTCATATATATCATATTTATCTATAATGTATATCACATATATATTAAAATATATAAATTATA